ACTCTGCTCAGGATTTCTCACCTTTTGGTGCAACCATCCTTAAAGCAGCGACTTCCAGGAGCCTGGGGGACTCCAGACCTGTCCCCTGCTGCAGGGATCAGATCATGTCCTGAGAGAAACAGCAAGACAGTACAAAGGAAAGCAGCATCTTTTGGGGAGGAAATTCAGGAACGAGGGTTTGAGTCTTCAGTCCTGGGTCAAAGCTGGGGATGTGCGTCCTTCAGGATCTTGGCAGACAGCTTAATTGTCATCCCAGGTACCAGCACCTTATCAGAGCCCTCGCCATTGCCGTTCCCCACAGTTCCCAGTGGGAGCGGTGGCTAGGGAAGTGGGTCGGATGGCAGTTACCAACCTGCAGCTGTCCCAGACACACATGCCTCTGCCTTAATGAAATTTCAGACCTTGAAAGACAGGTGGTTGGGCATTTGTATTAATTCCTTTTATTGAAATTTCATTCTTAATTAGTTATTTTGTTGTATGTAGTTTCAAGGGTTCCCTCTGCCCATTTCAACTCTAGGCTTATGTGCCAGTTCTGTTGGAAGATCCCAAAGGTTTGGGTTTGGTGAAAGAAGTGCCTATGTAGTTGCTTCTTATTTTAAAACTTTTTTGTGACCTTTTTTTTTTTGTATCGCGTAGGATCCATTGTGATACTGCTGCTGTTGTAAGAAATTCCCACTTTAGAAAAAATGCACTGGAGACCAGCGCATGTCTCTAAAGGTGTTTTCTGTTTGGGAGTAGGTAGGCGAGCAAAGTCAGAGTGACTAAGGTTTGGCCGTCGCTGTGGACTTTCTACTGACTGACGGGAAAACCTGGCACCTGATGTGGGCAGGATGATTTGCAGAAAATAACCTGTCGACAAGCAGATGCTAGGCAGCGGTCTGTCCAAGGGACTGCCGGTGATGTGAGAGGACACAGGGAGATGTGCACCCACCCTCTTCATGCTGGCCACCGGTGGGAAGAAGTACTAAGGCAAGAGGGTCCCTACTCCCTGTCCCCTCTCCAGCAGGTTCCTGCAGGAGATGAGTGCCCGCTGCTGCACAGGGGCCGGCGGGTTGGGGTTGGGTCTGTTCCTGCTCCCAGGCTCGCCTTCAAACGCAGGGCACGCACGCAGCCCCTGCAGAGCCTGGGAAGGTGCGCCCGCAAGGCCGGTGCCCACAGAGAGCGGGGCAGTGCTCGGAGGGGAGCTGCTGGAGAGGGAGGAAGGCTCCAGTTAGTCACACTGAGTTTGTTACTAGGCCAAATAGCAGCTCAGCCAGGAGATCTGTCTATACCAAGTGAGCCACAGTGAATTGCATCCTAGAATAGTTTTTGAAAGATTACTGGTGCCAGCAGAGACTCCAGCCCATCTGCTCCTCCAGCCTCCCCAGCAGCTTCCCTTGGAGAGCACCCAGCCTGTGACCGTGCTGGCCGGGGGGGCTGTTTGCAGGAGCCCCAGGAGGAGTGTGCAGTCGCAGCGAGTGGCTGGGGGGGCCGGGAGCTGGCCCCCCGTCAAGCCGTTTCCCAGCACGGGGAGGGCTGGGGCTGCTGGCAGCGCAGAGGGAGGCAGAGCCCGTGGGGCCGGGCTTGGAGCAGCTCCACGTCCCCAAGCCTGTGCTGGAGGAGTGGAGCACCCAGAGAGCGACAGAGCGAGCTCCCTGGCCCCGCTCACTGGAAGACTCATCCTGGTGCTTGGCTAAGGGTTTGCCTGCCTTTTCAGTAATTAAAAGTTTGTAACTAATGACCAGCTGCCCTGCCCATACCTCATAGTCATGCTTTCCCCTGGTGCTGGGAGTCTTCTTTCGCAGCAGGGAAGGAAGCCGAATCTACTTGAATATGCTTGTGCTGTGCACGATACGGGTGCTGAGGCCGCGTGGATTTCTTTCTTACACTTTCTGGAAAGCTGTGTTACTGTATTCTGTCCTTTCGTTATCGTGCCCTGTGAGTAACCGCATGGAGAACATGCTTGGAGAGGACTGCTGCAGAGAGGGGCTGGGCTCGTGCCTGTACGCAGTGATTTTAGTCTCAGACTTTCTCCCGCTTGCTTCTTTCCTGATAAGAGAGTAAAGAGGAAGACATTCAGACGAGTTCTCTTCTTGCATATTTAAACTTGAGCACAGGAGCGTGCACCTTCCTCATTGCCTTAGCTTTGCCCTCTGTGTCCCACCCACATCCCTCTGGCTGCAAGGAAATCAAAGCACACATGCAGCACGACTGTTTTCTGGGTCAGGCAAAGTGCTTTGGCCGCACTCAGTAGGATGAGAGACTTTAAAACTAGCATATGGATTTGGGCTTCAGCCATGTATGGATGTAAACGCCGTCTTCGGGCTAGGAGCGAGCGCTGGTGCAGAGCCAGGACGCCGGGAGTCCCTGTCCCCACTTACCTGTGATTCCTGCACCCAAAGACCTTCCCTTCCTTGCTGTGGACACCCTGCTGTCCCAGTAACTCCTGTCACTGCTGTAGGCTACAGGTCTGCTGGGGTTTCCCAGTATAAAACTGTGGTATTGAGGAGTTGGCTGCCTGCTTACAGTTTAAAAAGCAGCGAGAGGGACAGAACTGCCCCCTTTGCCTGAAAACTGTCCATTTCGAGAGGCTTTTATCTGAGCTAAAGCCAGCTGTGCCAGGAGGCAAAGCATAAGCCTCGTTGAGAGGAGTTGTCTCCATTTACACATCTGGAATGATTGTGTCCTGCTAATACACATTGTTTGGCCATTTTAAAAATACTTCCTTTTTTTGTTATTATCAGGACAAAGGTACCCTTTGTTTTTGTTTTTTTCTTCATTTTACTTTTCTATAAGAAGAAGGCAGAAGCTACCCTAGTCATTGTGTTGGCTTAGGCTGAATTAAAGGCCTGGCTGAACAGGCTTTTCCCGGCTAACTTTTGAGATAAAAGACCAGCAGAACCATTAAAACGCATGAGGTCAGGTTCTGATTGCAGTTGTCCTGGAGAACTTGAGAGAGAAATAAAGAGCATGTATTCAGAAGATCATGAGTCTGATCCTCTGCTGCTCTGCTAACTGTAAGGTTTGCTTTTAAATTCAGTGCTTGCCAGCAGTGAGTGCAAAAGAGCATCTGTGCAGGCTCTGTATAGCTGGTATTTTCAGGAGTGTGTATGTGATTTAGATTCCCAGTGGTGAAACTTAACTTTAGAAAATGGACGGGCTGTCTGTGGTTTTGCAGATTTCACTTATTTTGTCTCCTTTATGCTTAAAGTAAGTGCTGACCTGGGCTGGGGGACAGGTTCTCTGTCCTGTTACTATTCAGTGCTACACTACTGGCTTAAAATCTCATAAAACAGTACCTTTGAAGCTGGAGATCAGCTATTGTTTTTCTGCTGCACTGCTCAATAATTGATCCCCATCAGATCTATGTGGCTTATATTTCCCATTAATAGTACTGGGTGGTGTTTGGCATTTTTGCATACTGTGCCGACGGACGCAGCATCTCTTCCCTTCCCTGCCGATGAACGTAGCGAATTTCCAACGCTGAGTGGGCATTAGCAGGAGAGGAGAACATGCACCATTCCTTCGCATTTGACTTCAGGCCTTCCCCTGTGATGCAGGGTATTGTCGGCTCTTAGCCATCTCTTCTAGGTCAGGAGCTCTTGGTGTGGTGTGTGTTGCTCAGAAGCTAATTAGTACTTGTGCTTTTTCTTTTCTTCTGACCGTGTAAAAGTTCCCTCTCTCTCCATGATTTATGTGCTGGCTACAGAAATGCACCATGATTTTGTGTACACCTACTTGGGCTTGTGTGCCCGAAGCTTGTCTTTTTTCCCCAACTACTGTCAGTTGGTTTAGTAAAAGATACTATCTCTTCCTATGCCCCTTGTCTTTCAAATACTTCAATATGTCTGTGGTTTTATCTTCCCACATAAGAGCAGAGTTTTCTGCACAAGGTTTCTGTCTTCATGCAAGGATGTGGGTTTTTTTCCACCTTTCTCAAGCCATGGGCCATCAGTCCATTGCTGTGCAGGAGCACTGCTCTCTGTGTAGACGCTTCCTTTCCTTAGGGATGCTTGGGAATAGATGTATGTAGTAAAAACTCTATAGCCCCACTCTCTGAGTGGCTCACTGACAGTGGTCTCATGTCCTCTCGCCTGGCGATCAGAGGGAACTGCACCCATTTCCCTCCCTTTGCATTTTCCCACCAGTCCGCAATAAGCCCTAGTCCTCTTCAAATATTTCATAAGGCAGGTGAAGTGAGACTGGAGTTGGGAACTGAGTACTGACTCCTGTCGCTCTAAACTGACGTTGAAGTGCAACAAGGAGCTCCCTTGGACTGAAACAGAAGAGAGGAGTGAACAGAGAGTCCAGGTTTATGTTGCTGCACCTCCAGCAAATACCTGTCCGGGACCTCGGACAGTCTGCTTCATGGTCCACGAGCGCTCTGCATCCATGAGTCGTTTACTGGTGTCCTTACAGAGGTTCTTTCTTGCCAGTGTTTGCACACACGTACCGTCAGTGTCCTGTGTTTAGCTTAGGAAGTCAGCAGGGTGGAAGTGCTTTGCTGGGAAGGGTCTGGCTTCCATGTTACAGATATGAGTCATTGTCATAGTTCAGTACTCTTGGTTCTTAATTTTTTAGTTTTACTGGGGAGGTTAGAGCGAAAGAGGAAGAATGTAAGAAGAAGATTTCATTTTCTGTCTTTGAAGTGGCAGAAATACTTTTTTTCAGAGAGAAAGCCTTACAACTTTTCCTGAGGAGTTCTAGACTTTAAATTTACTCCTGGAATTGAAGGGACTCTCACCTGATGTGGTTAAGCATTTCAGTTTTGGAGGCTCATCAGTTTTCCTTCAGCGGGCAGAAAGCGGTTGGCCAAAGTAACCCTTTAGGTTTTTGTGGCCAGCTCTCCTCCTTTCCCTTTCTGCCTAAATTTGAAAGGCGTAACTATATCTGAACGCATTTTACACCAGCATAACTGGTAATAAAAGAAAACCAGCTAAGAACGTGGGAGTGACCAGGTTAGTATAGATTATATTTGTCCTTGTTCTCCTTTTATTTCTTTTTCTTCCTTCTGTCTTTAGACTTTAAAGAGAAAGGAAAAAGAATATGAACATGAGATGGAGCGGCTGGCAAGAGAGAAGATTGCTACCCAGCAGCGACTGGCAGAATTGAAGAACGAGTTGAGCCAGTGGATGGACATCTTGGAGATTGACAGAATTATTCGACAGACAGTTCAGCCAGAGGATGACCAGGCATCTACCTCGACAGCATCAGGTACCCGTAATTACTCTCTTCTTGTAATCGTCACCGTATGTCACTGACACAGTTACATAGTGGTGGTGGGGATCTTCATCTAGCACCATCAAGGTTTCTTTGCATTCAGAATAAAGTAAAAGGTTTTCAAGTGTTTTGTAATCATTGATGTTGGCCTAATAATACTCTGCCGCTTGTGTAAAGTAAACTGAAAATCGTGCATCAACATTAGGTAGATACAAAGTGCAGGTTTGCACATTCAATCTGCTGATACCTCACCTGGAGCTCCCTGCTTTCAAAACTTAGTTTTCCTCTTGCACAGCTATGCATCTCTGCTCGTTAGAACTGAGTGATGTATGAGCATCCTGATGTATTTGTGCGTGGATGTGGGAGGGTGTTCAGCCACGTAGAGAAGAAGGAATTGGTACAGGAAGGATCACCAGAGCATTTGAACAACTTAATGAGCCTTCACATTGTGTGAAAAGGATTCACAGTGAAGATGAAATGATACTAATGAATATCTGGCGTGCTGTTCCCAGTGAGAAGTTTTTGTGAGATAGGAGCGTGCATGCTTTTCTCCATACCAGTGATCTGCAGCAGGAAGAATAGGCAGTCTGTGGATGTACTCTTTGCTATCCAGAGATGGGGAGGCTGTAGCAGCCTGTAACCATTTGCAGCAGTTCCTTCAACTCCCGACAGCATTTGCTCTTGGCACTTCAGGCAGACGATACAGCGGGTTCCAGGAAGGGAAAATCTGAGCTTTCTGGTTCATTCAGGCTTGTATTGGGCTCATCACCTTTGAACATACGCGCAGACTCCGAGTGTAGGCTGATGGAAGTTGAGAGTAGGAGTGCTTTGTCAATAGGAGTGTCAGCCGTTCGCCTCTCCAGCTGGCCTCTGCTGAAAATGATCACTTCAAGCTACTACTAACCACAGAGCTTGCAAAAGGGAAGTGTCTTCCCTGGTTTTCCTGCTGCTTCTGTATCTTCTGAGGTTTTTAATCTCTACTGCATGGCTGGCTTTAGAGCAGGCAGTGCAAGGTGCCCTGCTCGTCTTCCCGATCTCCGCAGGGTCAGCATGTTCCTGCATTGCTTCATTAGTTCGTGGACTGGATGAGAGTCCATTTTCCAGAACCAGACAAGGAACTTGCTGCCATGTTTCTCCATGGCTGTCTCCTGCCTGCTCTGGGAGCAGAAGGGGTGGTACCGATCGGTGGAACAACTGGACAGGAAAGGAAACCCTTTTCTTCTTCCCAGAAGGAGCCCTCCTCAGCCCAGACAGAGTTCAGCCCAGATGCTCTCCATCTGCCTCTGCTTAAATTGCTTCCCTTGCCTGCCGAGTGAGATCTCTCAGCCTGTTGTGAGCACCCCTCTCTAGCTGGGGCTTCGAGCTAGTCACGCCTGCCTGGCTCTGGGTCCTGGGCCCACAGGCAGGGAGGAGAGGGGTGTGCCGCCCCACTGGGGCTGGGTGTAGCCTGCCGTGCCGTGCCGTGCCGTGCCGTGCGATGCTGCCTGCCCGTAGTTCAGTGACTCCTCCTGCTGTCGTCTCTTCCGCCTGTGCTGCCTTTTAGGGAGGCTGGTTAGTCCAGTTCGTGCTCTGCTTTCTTTTTTATGGGAGTTTCTTCCTTTCGTTTTTTCCAGAGGGTGAAGACAACATGGATGAAGACATGGAAGATGACAGGCCAGTGAACTCATTACCAAAACTAACCCAGCGCCAGCACCCAGAGCTCCTGAAAGCCGTCCCTTCAAACACTGCTTCCCACCACCCAGCGGTTCTGCCTCAGCACCTGTCCATCCAGCAGAAACAAACCCCAGCCCACACACAGCCTCCCATCCAGACACAAGCACTGGTCCAGCCGCAGGCGATCGTCCCTGCACAGACTCACATCGTGGCGGCTTCGACAGTGCAATCGACTGTTATTGCCCACACCGCCACTACCCACGCTTCGGTCATTCAGACTGTCAACCACGTGATTCAGGGTCCACAGACCAAGCACATTGCTCACATTGCACCTTCCACGTCCAGCCCTGTGCAACTTACCACTGCTGCTCAGCCTATCGGCCACATCACTGTGCACCCAGCCACCATCAACCACATGGCCCACCTCGGCCAGCAGCTGCCCATCTACCCTCAGCCCGTGGCCGTCAGCCAGCCCGTGGTGAGCCATATTGCTCACACGATCTCGCACCAGCAAGTGAATGGAACCACAAACCTTGGCCAGCAAGCAGTGATGGCCAAGCCTGCTGTAGGAACCCAAGTTGTCCATCACCCGCAGTTAGTTGGGCAAACGGTCCTAAATCCGGTGACTATGGTAACCATGCCATCGTTCCCAGTGAGCACACTGAAGCTGGCCTAGAGGGGATCGTCTGACGGCGAGGTCTTTGTTGGGAACCTTTCCTAGACTCCATACATTCCAACCACGTCCGACTCTGCGGGAGGGAAGTGCAGAAAACGCCGAGTGGCAGGACGCCGGGCTGGGCTGTCCTCAGCCGCCCAGTAACCAACCTGCCGCTGGCAGCAAGAGACGGGGCCTCTCTGCACTTGAATTTTGCTAATCTGAGAAAACTTCAAAGACAGTTGTTCATGGTGATTTTTTTTCCTTTTATGTGTAATCAGTGAAATATGGATATGATGTTCTTAAGACTTTAATTTTCCCCTTTTATGTGTTGCTTCTTTGTAGAATAAAAATTGCTGATCTCTTTATTGAGACATTGCGTAGAATGGGAAAAAAAATCATAGAAGTCTATATTTATATATATGTGTGTATGTGTGTGTATATATATGTATATACATATATATATAAATATAACATTTGAAGAAGGCCTTTTGTAAGGTTGATTATTTTGCAGGATTATTAGACAAAATTCATTTTTGGAGGAAGAAGACAGAGTGTCCTCTCTAAACAAGAAACTTTAAGATAGATGGTTTGGTGGACCAGGGTACATATACAGTGACAAAAAAAAAAGAAAAAAAAGTTAAACCATGTTAAAGGTATTTCCCGTCAATATATTACATTTCAAAAAAACATCTAAAATCACTGTGACTTGTTACGGCATTTTAAGGAAATTCTCTGTCCTGTCTAATAAAAGGAAAAAGAATACACAACTGGACTTCATTTGTTGCAGTTTTATAAATGACTTGATTTTTATAGCTATGTCAAAAAAATAATGTTTTTTATTATTTTAATGGTTGACAATGTTTTGTTTGGATGGTTTTTTGGGGGATTTGTTTTTCGTTTTGGCTTCGTTTTGCTGATGCAATAATTGATTTTGTAGATCTCTGTGCATGGCACTCCCCCTTTCAGGGTTCCTCCTGCCAGTCCCAAGCCCCCAGGTTTCTTGGGTTCGTTTTTGTTTTGCAGAGGCAGATACTTGTGCTGGCAACTTGCAATATGTTTATCTGGCCTGATAGAGCGGAACCTGGGACAAGAAGACCAACAGAAATTAAGTAGATTTGCTGCATGGGTTACTTTTCTTTGTTAGTTTGTTCCTGAACTGACCACGTTTTAGTGTGGGAGTCAGTGGATTAGAAAAGGGATAAATGTGCATGTAGTATCTTCCAAAGTGCAAGCAGTTTTGACATCTTTTTTTCTTTGGGGGGAAAAAAAAATCTAGTCTTGTATGGGATAACGGTATATTCCAGGAGATCGGTATGTATAACTTGTGTCTTACAGGCTACAGTGAGACGTGCACCAAAGAACAACCCCTCATGCTAAGTGACCCTCTTGTTCACCCTTTCCAGTGGTTAGGTCAGATCTCACTGAAGTCAACGGCAAACTCCCACGGGGTCACGAGAGGAGGGATATTGTTTGGCTCTGCGGGTACTTGCCCGCCTGCCCGGGAGGTTGCTTAGGACGTGTTTCATTGCTGACTGAATATTCTGGTCTTTGCACCGTTTTGCGTGTAGTACTGCTATTAATGATCTCTCTTCCGTCTTCCTGTCTTTTTAAAAACAAATACTCCGCAGTCCTTAATGCAGGCAAAATTCCTGCT